CAAGTCATATTTCAGGAGTTATGACTGATTAAAATGCAGTAGTATTTATGGCGGATCAAGGTCTCAACCTAGGGGAATTCAAAGGCCCTAAAAAAGACCAAGAAGACCTCTGACTGACCAAATCAAAACTTTCACACCTTCATCTATCCTAGAAGGTGTGAAAGGTATACAAAACCATGTTTTGTTTGGGTGATTTTCTGTGTAGATCCAATGTGACCAGTGCATGTTGTGGACACATGTGAAATGCACAGACCTCACAGAACAGGAAATTGACTACATTTAATAATAATAAACTACATTTTATACACTTGTTAGACAGTTGCATCACATGTTTGGTAATCACAGTGACATTACTAGTGCCTCTACCAAAACCCTTATTAAAACAAACATCACGTAATATTTGGTATGTTGTAAAATCTAATCTTGTTCACATTACCCAGCCCCAAAATTATGCTCGATGTGCATTGATATGCATGATGGTAATATGCAACTGATTTGTTTTGATCTGCTTTATTTTTTTTAGGAAAGGGTATCCCAAATCAACTGGCTCTGGGTGGATGCCCAAAGACAGTGACTCCAGATCTTTTGCCAGAGGCTGCAGAAGCTGCAGACTGCTATAACCTGGAAGTGGGTTCCTCTTTGACGAGGGAGTCACTTTTTGGGAGAAATCCATTTTCATCAGTGGAGCAGCAGGCAGCAGCTGAAGAAGAATTTGCGCAGCACTATTCAGACATTGCTGAATTCTTTGATAGTGCTGTCAACCACGAACCAGGGGGTTTCCAAAATGGAATTAAAGGTCTGATAGACATTGTAAGAAGACATGTGTGAAGATGTGACTGACAGCCTGTCTACAGAGAGGTGGCTGGACTGTGTTTGTTTATTTGAATAAACATTCTATTTGAATATATATCAGTCGCATGTTTAAACTCAGGCAAGCATACAGATCCTCAATTTTTAGACACTTACCTAGATATCGTCTTTTCTGAATTACAAAATCGCAGCAGGTGAGATATGGAATGGATAGTAGCTACAGACATAATTGTGCTAAATGATCATTTATAATATATAACTTGTAGGCAGGTTGCTTAAGTAGACTTGTGTTGCGATCGAGCGCCGGCGAGCGGGGGGAAGGAGGCGAGTCAAACCCGGAAGTGTAGGCAAACGGGGTTTTAATGGCACGGACTGGACAGACATCAACAAACATCAACGACGGATCTGGGAAACCAAGGGAGACGCAGACTAATATACACAGGACAATGTAAAAGAAACAGGAAACAGGTGATGACAATCAGGGATTAACACGAGGTAATGAGGGGGGCGTGGCACACACGTGGATCATACGAGCAGGTCGTGACAACTTGAAAACTAGGAGGTTCTTTTTACTAATAATTCTTTAATCGGTCTAAAGAACTTCATTGAGTGTGTTTTGCCAGTTATCAAGTGGCTGCACGTGATCACAGCTGAGGTTACTGTCCAGTGAAACCTTGATTCTAACCAGAGCATGTGAGCGGAGCGGAGCTTTTAGTTAAGGCTGGAGCGGTCACTTTGTCTCGCTCCAATTTTGCTCCGGTACCGCTCGCACTACGTATGATTCTGAGGTGTGCCCAAATCTACCCAGAATTCATCTGTACAATTATCAAGGCTGTTACACAAATTGGCCGAGATGCAATTCGCAAAGTATTTCTCAAAGGAAACTGATAAATCATATAAGTGTACTATTCTTATCAAACGTATAGATGACAATAATGTAAAGCAAGAACAAGAATGGGGTGAAACTGTTTCAGTGAGTAAAGATTCACTTTGGAATCACTTTTCTCAGAAACGTGAGAGTGTGCTACGCGAACAGGCGGAAGCCAGAGCAAAACGCGAGCAAGTTTTATATGGTTGTAGCATATCAAGTGTAGGCTATAAAGTAAATTAAAGTATAAAAGCCTATAAAGTAAATATTGGTAATCAAATAAATTCGTTTTGTCATTCAAAGTAGGCCTAATTAGATTTTTTTAAAATTTCACGTAACGCTGTCAGTGAAATTTTATTTTATAGACGTGCTGCATCAACAGAAAAAAAACTGAGGAATTTAAAACGTGCCTGTATATTTTTTAGGCTATTAAGCCCACTGATTCCTTTATTTTTAAGGCTATTTTTGTGTGGAATGCCATTGCCAAACCTGTCCGTTGTTGCCTATAAGTTGCTTAAAAATAAATATTTTCTGTTCTGAATGGCAATGTTGCCGTTGCTCATATTTCTTTATGACATAAGGCTTCGGTTTAAGGTGACATTTGTTAGGCATGCAGATTATTTGTCCCTCTTTTAAATTGGAGCGAGCGTGGAGCGATTTGACTGGAGCGGGAGGAAATTTTAGTGGAGCGAGGAGCGGTGTTGAGCGGAGCGGCTTAGTGCGAATTAGAGCGGAGGAGCGGGCGGAGCCAACAGCCTCGTGAGCGAGGAGCGGAAATTCTCACCGCTCCACTCCGCTCACATGCTCTGATTCTAACTGATACTGTCCAGTTGAGAGGTCACAAACCGACTGACTTAACAATAGTTTACGCTTTGTACGATGCTGTCTCTAGATTATTCACCGCATAAATACCTATCTATTAATAGCCTCGCTTTTTTTTTTTGGTCTGGCTGTCAACATATCCCAGGGCTCCAGACTAAGACGGTTAGATTGCATTATGCAGCTCTTTTTGGAGACAGTGCGACTAAATTTTATAACTAGTTGCACCAGTACGACTCTCGGATAGGCCCCCCATTTTTAAAAATCCATCGTCGTATATCATGTGAAACACGCGGAGAGAGTGAGAAGTGCTGTGTGCCTGCGTGTGTGTGTATGAGCGAGCAAGCGGGCGGGATAAGGCTCTCTCCCACTGCAGTAACTTTTTGTGTAGAACCAGGAACTTTTGGCGTGAGCTGTCGAAATTCATATTTACTAGACCTTCACAAATAAACAATAAAAATGCAAGACCATCAAACCTGGTTTCATACATTACCATGCATTTAATTCCAAATTATATATATAAAAAAACGTTCTGTCAAACTTCATTTTATGAGGTGATATTTCAAAGCTATTAAATGCATGTTTTCCGTCAATATACAGAAACACCATAATATTTGCAAATAAGTTCTTCAAGCTAATTCACAAATCGAAACCTGAAAAGTACTATAAAAAATATTAATGTGAACTACATTATGTGAACATGTGACTTTTAAAACGAATTGAAATACCTCAGCAACAACCCAGCAACACATACAAGTGGGACCCACATGGGCTTTACTTGGGTTAGGTGGGCTACAAGTGGGTATGGGCTTAGGTTGGGCTTTTAAGTGGCTGGTGTTGGGGCCCATGTGGGCAACCCATATGAATTTAAATGGGCTAGAAATGGGCATACCACGTACACAGAGAACATGTTCTACATGGGCCCCAAGTGGGATAAAAAATTCAAAGGAAAAAAATGGAATTGGAATTAGCCCCTAATCCTGGGTTGTTCCCTGCCTCGTGCCTGTTGCTTCCGGGATAGGCTCCGGACCCCCTGCGACCCAATAGGATAAGCGGGTTGGACAATGGATGGATGGACGGATGGAATTAAGCTGCATCAATTGCGTATATTTATTCATTTGTTTGTTTGCTTATTCATGGGCTAATGTCTTGGCACATCTGAGTAATTTTAATAAAATATAAATTTTATACGGCCTACATGCTATTTTGCCTGACCAGTTTTCTACTCAGCAAAAAAATTAGTGTATGACTGTAAGCACGTAATACATCAGCGCATGCGCATATACTGCCGCACCCATCCACGCTCCCCGCGCGCGCCCGCCAAACCTCATCGGACTTTCCCGCCTCTTTATCTGGCGCTTTCCATCACTGCGAATCTGAGGCAAGCCAGTGTGCAACAGGTATAACTAAGGTATTTTTGGGTTAAAAGTGAAAAATTACTTTTACACATATCTGGGTTGTATTTAAATGAACATTCAGTAATAAAGTTGTGTCTAACGG